CCTCCTCCTCCTCCTACTCCGCCTCCTCCTCCTCCTCCTCCTCCTCCTCTCCTCCTCCTCCTCCTCCTCCTCTCCTCCTCCTCCTCCTCCTCCTCCTCCCTCCTCCTCCTCCTCCCCATCTTCCTCATCCTCCTCCTCCTCCTCTTCATCCGCCTATTCTCCCCTCCCTCCTCCCTCCTCACCTCCCCCTCCCCTCCTCCTCCTCCTCCTCCTCCTCCTCCTCCTCCCCTCCTCCTCCTCCTCCCTCCTCCTCCTCCTCCGCCTCCTCCTCCTCCTCATCCTCCTCCTCCTCCGCCTCCTCCTCCTCCTCCTCCTCCGCCTGCGCCTCCACCTCCGCCTCCGCCTCCGCCTCCTCCTCCTCCTCCTCCTCCTTCCTCCTCCTCCTCCTCCTCCTCCTCCTCTCCTCATCATCATCATCATCATCATCATCATCATCATCATCATCATCATCACCACCACCACCACCATCATCATCATCATCATCATCATCAGTCATCATCATCATCATCATCATCATCATCATCATCATCATCATCATCATCATCATCATCTCATCATCATCATCATCATCATCATCATCATCATCATCATCATCATCATCATCATCATCATCATCATCATCCGTCATCGTCATCATCATCATCATCATCATCATCATCATCATCATCATCATCATCATCAGTCATCATCATCATCATCATCATCATCATCATCATCATCATCATCATCATCATCATCATCATCATCATCATCATCATCATCATCATCGTCATCATCACCACCATCATCATCATCATCATCAGCATCATCATCATCAGCATCATCATCATCATCATCATCATCATCAGCATCATCACCATCATCATCATCATCATCATCATCAGCAGCAGCATCAGCATCAGCATCATCATCAGCAGCAGCATCATCAGCATCATCATCATCAGCATCATCATCATCAGCAGCATCATCATCATCATCGTCATCATCGTCATCGTCATCATCATCATCAGCAGCATCATCATCAGCATCATCAGCAGCATCATCAGCATCATCATCAGCAGCATCATCAGCATCATCATGATCATCATCATCATCAAGATCAGCACCATCATCATCATCATCATCATCATCATCATCATCATCATCATCATCATCTCCTTCTCCTCCTCCGCTTCCTCCTCCTCATCCTCATCCTCATCATCATCATCCTCATATCCTTCTCCTCCTCCTCTTCCTCCTCTTCCTCCTCATCCTCCTCATCAGCATCATTAGCATCATCATCATCATCATCATCATCATCATCATCAGCATCAGCAGCATCATCATCATCATCATCATCATCATATCCTTCTAGTTCCTCCTCCTCTTCCTCCTCCTCCTCCGCCTCGTTCTCCTGCGCCTCCGCCTCCGCCTCCTCCTCCTCCTCCTCCTCCTCCTCTTCCTCCTCCTCCTCCTCTCCTCCTCTCCTCCTTTCCTTACTCCTCCTCCTCCTCCACCTTCTCCTTCACCTCCTCCTCTTCCTCCTCCTCCTCCTCCTCCTCCTTCTCCTCTCCCTCATCCCCCTCGTCCTTCTTCCCCGCATTTCCTCATTCGGCAGGTCCGCAAAGGCGCACCCGATCCGCTTCTGGATCAGGGCAGGCAGAGCCAAGACATAAGTTTGACGGCTTCCCCCGCTCTTGAACCACTGCATGCTCCTCCATTTCCCTGATCAAGGCAACTCGCAATGGCATCGTTTGTGTATGGGCTGGTGGGGATATGTTTTTGGTCGCGGGCGGACGCGTGAAGCAGTCGCCGAAAGGGGGGCCGGGGCACGGGCCAGCCTAATTAGCTACTGCGCGACGCGCAAGCCGGCCGGGCCAGCACTCAGAAGCGGCGGCTGAGGGGCAGCTGCTGCAGGTGAAACCTGGTGGGGATAAGCGAAGCGTCAAGAGTTGAAGATGCAGTCCCGTCGGGCGGGGTCAAGATGTGGACAATGCAAGCGAAATTGGATGGCAAGCCTGCTGCGATATGTAGCCCCCGAGGCGCGGGGAAAAACGTACGCACTGAAGACTGAAGTGCGAGTACCAATTAGCATGAGATACATGTTTCAAATTCGCATGAGATACAAATAGATAATGCCCCCATCCATCCCTGAACGCTTAGCAGAACGAGAACGTGCCAGGTACGGAGGCGGAGGAGGAAGGATAGACGGCGGGAGAGGAGCAGGAGGAGGACGAGAGGAGCGGAGAGAGGAGAGGAGCGGAGCGGAGAGGAGAGGAGAGGAGAGGAAGGAGAGGAGAGGAGAGGAGAGGAGAGGAGTAAGAGGAGGAACGCCGTCACGAGGGGGAGGGGAGAAGGAACTGAAGGAGGCGGCGGCGGAGTGCGGGGGGAGGCAGGCGCAGCCATGCAGGGCCCTCGCCCTGCTCTACGCGGAGGTGGCCCCTGCTCGCGGAGGCGGACGGCGACGCGCGCACCGTCCCCCGCAGAGGGGCCCGCCGCACGCCCGCCCCTGCTCGCTCCA